ACCTGGTGAGTGGTGACGACAACATTAATAAATATCACGGCATAAATCTGACCTGTGTGGCAATAACTGCAAAATTCTGTAAAAGATTTAAAGCGATCAAACCAATGACAGTTAAACAATGTGCAGGTGTGCACAATCCAGGTGTGCAAAGCCTGCAGAGACTCGACCATATCTTTACTCGTCTCACACAAAGACTTTATAACAAACAGGTTTTACCGTAACTTCTCGAACCCATCTGTAACTGTGACCTCAAACTTTTCATGCCTTTGACCCCATTTTACAGATAAAGCTGAAGTCACTGTGTACTTGGCTGTAATTGGGGTGACCAAAGATCTAAATTAAAGTATTACCACTTTGCGGCCATCTCTGCAACACCTAATTCCCTGGTCATTTATTCTCTAGAAATTATACTTCTATCTACATGCAGTTTCATAGTAGAAAGCAAAAAAACCATCCTTTACTACAATAAGTAAACCTGCCCGCCTCCACCACACAGCTGAGGCCACCGTAAACCTCACCTGTACATGTCCAGCATCAACATCACTGGCTCATATTTCCACCATCTTTAGAGCTTCAGACTTTTCTGGGATTTGTATTCAGGCTCCACCATCTCTTTTATAACAAACTGTGCAGAAAGTAATCAGTTAAGAAAAAATAAAGTCTTCTTTTTTTCTTTTTTAAGCTTCTTATCTTTGGACGACACATTGCACCAACTGGACTGTAAAAGCTGAAGTAAACTTCCTCTGGTCATCAATCTCAGGCTTGTTCTGAACGTACCCCAGTCTTTCTTGACAAACTGCACTGCCGCACTTTTATTCCACCCCTTCTTGTTTTGGAGGGACAGCATCTCATTATCTGAAAGCAGAAGGACATTAAGATTAAAACACTGAGCAGAACGCCGGTCTGAAAGTCTGAAGACTGAAAGCTGTGAATGTCGTCGCGGTCTCTGCAGCAGGACGCCCGGGAGAGCGAGCGCCTCTCAGTGAGACGGGACGTCATTGTAGCAAAGCTCAAATTGAGACAGATCATCGTCTTTACAGACTACTGCCACAGAGTGTAGCTTGCAGGTGTTTGCTTCATTTTACATCAGCAACACAGAAGCTGTGTTCACTCAGTATTAAGACCAAAGAACAACAAACAAGGTGATAAAATCTCTGCAGAAATGCATCTCCCTGTATCATGGAGTAGAAAACCTGACGAAAAATTAAGTATGGTGACGCCACCAGCTTACTTGTGGTCCTGCAGGTTCCTGGTCCGTACAGTCTGGACCGGATGAACTCCTCGGCCACCTGCTGTTGGAAGGACGCCAGCGTTCGCTCCTTCACCGTCGTCACCGTGTACTTCCCCTTCAGACTGACAAACAACACGAGTACAATAAAAGGACGGAAAGAAGAACGCGTGTTTGATCAGCTTCACTTTAGTGAATAATGATCGTCTCACATATATCAGGATCAGTTTGAGACTTCTTCAGTAGCACCAGCATGCACTTTCATTGGATCCAAAAGGCTGAGAATTAAAAACAAGTCTCTGCACACAGAGTCCAACTAATATCCTAAATTTAAAGTGCCCAATGAGGTGAGAACAATAAAAGTATCACATTTCTGTATCATTATTTTATTGAGAGGTTTTCAGCATCTTCACTTCCTCTCTGAAATGTCACTGAGTGGATTCTGATCAGTGGGTCCAGCAGTCAGTGAAGTGCTTGGTAACAACAGATTTTGTCTAATCGTGGTGGGTGAGGAGCTGCAAACTGGCTTTCATCAGTGAATCAAAGTTTGTCTACCAATATTTTATCTGCAGAGATGTTCCCAAAACAATCAGTGGGTCTCTCCTGCTAATGAACTCCAGCTCCACCATCATGAACCATTGCTGGAGGAGAAACTCACGAGGACAGGCTGGAGCAAAGTCTTCATTAAATTAGACTGAAAAATATTAGTTTGAGACACTTCCTGTCTTCAAATACATAATTTTCTCTTGTTTCTATTGGTGCCTGGTAATGTGTAACAACAACAAGGTATTTGCTGACCACACTAAATAATAAAGAATCTGGCAAGTCCACCCAAGTAAAGCGTCTCTCTTGAACTCTGAAATAAAATGATTTAAAAACATTGACATACTTCCGGGCATTTGCCAATTTCCCACTCCTTTTCTTTTTCTTCTTCTTCTTTCCATCTCCCTCCTCTTTTTCTGGCTTTTCCTCCTGTTCACCTGGGTGAGGACAGGTTGATTTAGCTGAAGTCACAGATCTGAAGTTCAATCTGCTGCTCTACAAATCAGTGCCCAGTCCTTCCACAGCATCAGCTAAATGGTTAAAGATTTATTAAGAAAGCTTCTTTACCTTCATCTTCAGACTGTTTCTGCTTCCTGGAGAAAAGAAAAACAAACAAATGTTGTGAGCACTGAGTGAGTTGATGGAGACGATGTGTTAAATCCAAGAATTAGACGGGTTAACTTACTTTGAGGAAGCTGAGTCGATTTCCTCCAACACATCAGCTGATAAGAGTCTTCTTTTCTGTGGAGAAAACAGTCTGTGAAACTGCAGGTTCACACATCTTTTAGTTTTTCTACAGCATTAGGTCACACTGAAAGGCAAAAAGAGAGAACTGTTTGTCACTTTGCATTTTGAGCTAAAGTGAAAAATGTCAAGAATGGGACTGGAACAAAACACTGACATCCTCCTCCAGAATCAATCAAACCAGGCGTGCTATTTCCTGCCTCTTTACTGTAAAGCTAAGCAAAGTTAACCACCCTGTAGTGAAGAAGACTCACAGGCAGAGGGATTAAAAACAATAATGAAGAAAAATAAATAAAACTCTCCTCCCCATCATTTCCTTAATGTTGCTTTAATACACCTCAAACAGCACAACGACAGAGACAGCGGTGTCTCCTCCTGAAATGAACACCCTCTGAACTCTTTTCAGATAGAAGTAAAATAAATGAAAGCACTGATGTGTGATTGGTTTGAGCCTGGATCCTGAACTATGAAGCAACTTCAACATACTCAGGCTCTCCTGATCTGGCTTCACTTAAACTAAAATCAATAGTCAGACTGTAATGGGAGTTAAACAGGTTCTGCATTTTCTGAATCTGTTAGTCCGCTTGTGTTAGGGTGATGTAAATTTCATCTTTAGACTTTAAAAAACACTTTAGCTCATATTAGTGTCAATGCAGTGAGCTCTGAGGATTGGTGACACCATTTTCTAGGCGATCCATTGTTCAGCAGGCAGTAGTTTTGAACTTGTCCATATGTTTTCTCAGGAGCAGGTTATGACTTCATGAGAAGTTACCATGGTTATGCACCCTGGTAAGAAGGTAAATGCATTTGTAAAACTTAAAACTCAGGGTTAGACAGGGTCCAGGCCTCTGAAAGTATTTGAAACCATTTAAAATCACACACACCGACCTTCTGTTCTTGGAAGAGCTCCTGTCTCTTCCTCCTCTTCTCTTTTAGCAGCTGCTTTTCCCTGTAAACAGAGGAGCATTTCATCAGGTTTATGGATAACAATGACACAAACACACAACTGTACAGCTTCTGCTGATAATGTAATAACACTTATGGGGAATTTTTGCTGATGGCGATCAAGCGTAAGCCATTCTCAGGGGGACTGCTAATATTCTGGTCCCTCATGTATGAAAATACTGCAAAAACTGGCAAACGCCTCACGATAATTTACTGATCCGTTTGTGGCCCTGCTGAGGTCACCCTTAAATCTGACTAGACGTGTAGTTTATGACATAACTGTTACAGATGTGCCTAATAAAAAGGCCTCTGAGTGTGCAGTCCATATCGGGTTTATTTTTTGACGCTTGAAACGTTTCTCTTTTAGACATTAGCCCAACTAAACTTCGTCAAACAATCCAAAGATCCAGACCAATTTGATGACACAGAGCTGTGCGTCTGAGAGTACACAACAGCTAAAAAATACACACGTTGTCAACATGAATTTTGTTAAATTTCGTGCTGCCGATTTGATATACGTCTACGTAAAAATTACGTAATGTATCTGTAGTGTTCACTGGAATAGAGACATCTGAATGCAAAGTTTTTGGAATGGAGTTTGGCCCAACCGTCCCAGCACAGGTTAGCTAGCGGTTAGCTACCTTCTAGCGGTATCCAGCGCCTGTTTCATGCTCCGCAGAGCCGCAGCTTTGGAGTCTTCAAAGGTCACCTCCTCTGGAGCTTCATCGTCGCTAGACTCCAGCGACAAGGTGAAACTCTCTGCGGGCTTTTCGATGCCCGCCGTCTTTGACGACGAGCTGGCTTTCCCACGTTGTTTCTTCGCCATGTTGTCCAGCGTTGTGAGACGTCATCAAGCCACGCCGCGCACAACGTGACGCAAAAAGAATGAACCCGACTGATCGACCAACCAATGACTGCAGCCCAACAAACAAACCGTTTTAGATAGATCTAAATGAGCGAATGATAGGATTATCTAATTCTAGCAAGTTTTATCATTTTATATTTGTATTAATTTAATATGTATTTAATAAGTTGTTTTTTGTTTTTGCAGAATATATTTCACCATCCATACAGTTATGCCAACATTTCAATATCTCGAAATGTCTAGTTAGTTACTTCTGAGTAAGTCAAACTTTTGAGATAGAATATCATCTATATTACAGTTAACGTTTAACAATTTAGATGTTTGTAACTGTCAAGTTTGTTGTAGGTAGTATTTTCCAACAGATTTTTATTCATTTATTTTAAATGTAAGGCCAGTCTCTCAAAATTTGTGACTTTTTAACTTAAATTGTCGACTTAAGAATCTTGAAATCAACTTATTCAGAAGTTTCAGTCACTAAAAATTTCAGATAATAAGTCGAAATTTCTATTTAAATCTGCATTTTATTTTATTTTATTTTATTGTTTCAGTGGCGGAAACAAGTGTCTATATTTTCCTCATTATGTGCTTGTTTTGTAATATCTGGAGGAAAATGTTAACTACCTGTGCTTTAATTTTGAAAGATAAAACCGGAAAACCTTCTCCTCTTTATTCTAGGGATCTGCCGGGCTGTTAGTACTGAACGGGACTCAGGGTTGTATTGGCACGATGCACCGACTTCTGCTCGTGTTTGTGGCCGCTGCTGGGGCCTCTGTCTTCGTCCTCCCGCGGATGGATGCGTCCCCGGCGGTCGGGCCCTGCGTCGCCCCGCTGCAATGGGAGGGAAGGTGGGTTGTGTACGACCACAGCACCGGCAGGAACAGCCGAGCCGCCGTCTCGTACGACGCCCTGAACCAGAGGATCCGAGTCCTGCAGCAGCACAAGAAGCACACCCCGTGTCAGAGGTAAGACCAGTAAATAAACACAAAGTAAACATGTTGTTTACAGACTACGTTTTATTACTGCACACAGTCAGTGTGAAGAGTTACAACAAAACAAGCTGCAGCTGCAAATCTGCGCTTAATAATCTCCAAATCATCTATATAAGCATCACTCCATTTATCATTAATAATCATTAATAAAGCTGATTTATAATGGATTTGGTCCCAGCTTTAAGCTCTTCTTTTCTGTAAGATCGGCTTTGTTTTATAGTTTATATGTATTTTTATTCACAAAACCAACCCATAATTTACACCCATAGTTATTTATACTGCAAACACTACAAAAAGTAATAATAGTAGTAGTAATAATGATTATAAAGGTCATATTCGATTAATGGATAAATTATTTTCCCATGCGTTACACATCAGTGCTAAAGATCAGATTAAAAAACATATCAGAGACTGACTTATAACTGTACTATTAATCTATAAAACAATGTTTTGTTTAGTTTTTTGCATTTTTTGTGTTCTAAAAAGGGTCATAAACAGTCTGTTTGAACACTTCTCAGCCTGGACTAAAGTCTGGAGTTGTGAAATGTTCCCTGGCTGGTAAACGAGGCCACAGAGCGACTTTGGAGTGTTTGGTTTGGGCACAGAGGACTATCCTGCCAAAAGTAACCATCTTCAGACTTTAGAAGACAGAGACACTATCAAACTCTTGGACAGTTTTCTTGCTGCCGAAATAGATGCCCCATAGTTTCTGTGCATAAGAAATGGAAGTAGGAGCCACGATGTTGCCCACTGGTTTTGGATTCTGCGATTTGAATGTTGAATGTTTTATGTTTTGGCCACTGCTCAGGTGGTTTGCTTCAACTGGATGTGACCATGTTTGGATGAGAGCATGCAGTGTTATCACACAGATCCAGCAAGTAACAGACTAATAAAATATTAGACGTTACCAAAACTGAAGCACAAACTTCTTAAACATCAGGATATACGATTTGTTAGATAATTTATTAAAAATGCTCCAAAAGGCACCAACAGGACAAACACAGTGGAGCGCTCCGGTTCTTTCACTGGATTTACTGGAGCTGAGGCCAAACATAGAAATGATTAAAACACATTCCAGTTAAATCAGCCTCTGTAGAGTTCTCATCAAGGGGAAAACTATCCATAGACACCAAAAATGGGTTTGTAGCAGGCTGTAAACATGATTAGTTCTACTGTAAAATCGGTCATTTGAACCTGGGAGTCTGTGCAGAATGACTCAGCTGTGGAGCCAGACTCTAGTGGACATTAGGGGAACTACAATTTCTGATATCTTGAGATTGGCTTTTAGCTCCGTAGGTTGATGCTTGGTGGTGAGACTTTTTTTCACAGTTCAAAACTGTGAGTCAAGCAATATCTATTTTATCTTTTCTTTCACTGTTTGTGTTTATACACCGCTCTCTGTGTCTTTTGTCCTCAGCACAGTCCCATCCAAAAACTTCTTTAACCTCTTTGTTTCAGGTTTTTTGAGTACATCTACTTGTATCAGAGCATGGTGATGTTCCAGATTGACCAGAAGACGAAGGAATGCTCAAAGATCGCTCTGACTGAAGCCTGGGATCCCTTCGACGTCCCTGATAACTCCACCTTTGAGGATCAATACTTCATCGGCGGCCCTGGGGACAGCATTGAGGTTCAGGAGTGGTCAGATAGGAAGCCGGCACGCAAACGTAAGTCTGAGATTTTTATGCTTTCAAACAGGCCATAGTGAGTGCTGAAGAGTTAGGTCAGTGTTAGCGTAAATTCAGCACGTCCTGCAGCTGCTTTATAATAACAATAAGCCCTTTCACTGTGGTTTTATTGAATTATGAGAGTGGCTGTAGCTTCTAAATGACTTCTTTTCCACGAAAAAGAGTAATTCTACATTTTACATGCATCCTTTCGTGAACTACCCCACACTAGTATACAGTACTGTGCAGTACTGTTCCTTTATATTTATCTAGGAAAATGTAATAAACAGTATATAGGTGTATAAGGAGTTGAAAGGATGGCTTGACAGTCAATATGTGGTGTGACCACCTTTATTCTTCAGCACAGCCTGAACTCTCTGAACTCTCTTAGGCAACTTTCTTGTAATTTATTAAATAATCTTCAGCAAAAGTTCTCCAGACGTCTTGAAGGACATTCAAAGCTTTTCTGTGGATGTTGGCTGCTTTTTGTTCCATTCTCTGTCACATTGCTTTAATAATATTAAGGTTCAGGCTCTGTGGAGGCCAGTCCATGACTGAAAGTGTTTTTTTTTCTATCCAAATATGCTTTTATTGGCAGTGTGTTTCATCACTGTCATGCCGAAAATAAAGCCGTTCCCAGTCAGATGCTTCCTACATCCAAAATCTGACTGCACTTTTCTTGGTACAGTTTTAGATTAGGCACTGGAGCCATGGTGGTGGAGATGAGGTAAGAGTGGTTGATCCAAAATTTGGGAAGATTGTTTTTATTGGTTTGAGAGGGGTTACTACAAAACTTTCTCCAATGATTTGCCAATACAGCCACAACTCCCACTACCCACTGTGAGAAAACTTTTGGTTTTTGTGTGCTGCTTCTCAAAAGGCACCGAGGCAGAGCTGGCACCTCATCTGAAATCTGCTATTTCAGTAATTTGTCCTCGTCTCTCCACCAGATGAGACCTGGGTGGGCGTTTACACCATGAAGGACTGCTACCCAGTGCAGGAGACCTACACGAGGAACAGCAGTGTCACCACCTCCACCCGCTTCTTCAGCCTGGAGCTGGGAATCAGCGACCCCAACGTTTTCACCCCACCGAGCACATGCCAGTCAGCCCGGCCTGAGAGGAAGGTCGACCTCGAGTGCTGAGACCTCATCAGATCTCACCTTTGACCTTAAAAGCTAAACTGCAGTTTAAGTCTGAAACCGCTTCCCTGTTTAGTCATTCACTATTGAAGTATACTGACATTTTATTTGAGGTAAAATTACAACTGTACTTTAGTCTGAAACCAGTGCCACAGTTTCAAAATTCTCTACTACAAGAGTAGCACTTAAAATAACTCATTCTGCATATGCCCTGTCAGTTAAATACTACTAATATATAACTACTACAGTTCAGCGCTTCCCAAACTATGGAATCAGGACCCTCGAAAAGGTCAGAAGATGAGATCTGAATGGTTTTAAGATGATTCATGGGAAAGACAAATCGTTACTATTTTGTAACCTGCTTTTATTTTGTGACTTGTATCTTTAAATTTCACTACGACATTTGGGATACTTGTATGAAGCATGATGTGTAAAGACTCAAAGCTAAAACTGTCAGATCTCACTGGAATAAAACGATTATTTTCCTCTGAAATGTTGTGAAGTTGAAGTATAAAGTAGTATGAATTAAAATACTCGGTACAATTACCATAAAACTGGATAAACACTTTATGAATGCAGTAGCTTTCTATAACTGTCAGACACTTTAAGTAAACATTATTTTTTTGTGTGTCCTCACTTAGAGCCTGATGGTACCTTTGGCTATAAAATCCATCACATGACATCATTCAATTACGTTCAGTTAACTCTGTGCTCGAAAGGGACTTTAAAAGTTTTGATCTCATTAATACAATTATGGGTAAACCATCATTTCCAGACTGCCAGCTTTGAGTTAATTTCCGTATGATTCTTCTTTTGCCATTTAAATTTATCCCCCAGAACTAAACACAGTAAGAAATGTAAGCAGGTGTACATAGATCGTTTCCCTTATTTTATAGACATTTTATTACCACAAAACCATTTGAATTTTAACATCAAAGAAAGCTGATGTCTAGTCATGGTTGGGGGGGGGGTGCTTTTGATGCCTCTAATCTGCCCAAAATCCAACGGCGAAGGGCGGAAGTGACGCAACTGTCAGTGCTCAGGCGTTATTTCCGTATTTCAGAGAGTTTGTCAACATTAGAGACTACCGGTGGTTAAAAATCGATCGTGCGGTATGAAGGGGAGATCAACCATCAGAGCAGACTGCAGGATATGAAGACAGCTGAGATAGAGTGACACATAACAGGTGTGTAAAACTGTGACGTGTCAATGAGCTAACATAGCGCGCACGAGCTCAGTTTGAATGCTAACGGACTGAAATCAATGAGCCGGTGTGAGCTAGGTTTTTATAGAAATAACACAAGTCCTCCTCTTGTTTTTAAATGAAGGGTTTTAGCATATAGCATCCGATAAGATACAGGAGAGAGTGACTTTACTATAAGCTGGTTTTTATACATTAAAATCAAAGAGTCGGTGACAGGAAGCTTCTGTTATCAGCAGTGTGCTACCATCGGCTCTTTGTCCCTCAGCCCGCAGCCGCCTGCGGGGGCAGCTGTTCCGAAAGTGAATTTTTAAACGAGTTTTTTTTTGCAACATTATGTTTGGCCTGTATAAACTAATAATAAGGGGCCAAAATAGCCTCCCTCTGTCTGAACCTGCAGGCTCTCCCACACAGAGCAGCAAGCACAAGCTTGTGAGCATAATAACTGTATACATTCAGACAGAGCTGTGATGGAGTCTTCTTTCAGACGCTGAGCGTATACAGGACAGTAACAGACATTAGAAGACTCAGCTCCTGCAAAGCTGCAAAGAAAATAAAGTCCACGTGTGCTGATTGTAAAGAGCTGTTTTTGAGACATCCAGCACTGACTGACGCAGACCAAACCAGAACCAAAGGCAGCAGCGACATTATTCTGATAAAAATCTGTAGGTTGGTCTGTTACAATAGATTATTTCCATAAGATCCACCACATCTGCCCTGCAGCTTCATTTAATACACTGATCATTGCAGAGTGCGCTGAACTCACCAATGCACATGTTCATGCACTGACAAAGATCACCTGTCAGTTAGCGCCTCAGGTTATATCCTGAAATAAAAACATTCTGTTAGGACAAAATAGACTGTTTCCAGCATTAAATTATGTTAATGGACTGCTCATTATACAGCACTAACATTCACAATAAACTAGGGGTTAGTATCTTGGCGTGCAGACTGGCGCAGTAAGTCATGCCACAATATTACATCTTGTTGAGCAGACTGGTGCCCATTTTAAACTGTGACAAACGGCGGCAGTTAACATGAATGTGTTTTCTAAGTCACTAACGTGTTAAACAGCAGATAGAGTGAACGTGTCACATCCAGGTATGGCAGCCTTTGCTCACAACTGTATTTTCCTGTCATCATATTGGTAACATTTTTCTTATGTCCCACTGTTCCTCAAGACCTCCCACAACAAAATGAATTGTGAGAAAGAGGAGGGTCTGGATGACCAGGAGAGGAACAACAGCCTGGACCAAAAGGACCCAGATCCTCCTCCGATTAAAGAGGAAAAGAAGGAACTCTGCATCAGTCGAGAGGGAGAGCAGCTTGTAGTGAAGCAGGAAGCTGAAGACATCATTGTCTGGACCGGGGAAGAACAGCTCAGACTCCTGGATAACATGTGGAAACCAGAAATAAACTTACGCAGCACAGGTTTGTAAAATCGGTCAGCTAATGAGAGATATATTTCTACAGTTTGATAATCACAAACATCGAAATATTGAGATAATTTTTGCAAATTAGAATCCAAGAACTATGCAGTCACTTGCACAAGTGTCCAAAATGATCTGCCACAACGGAAGAATAAATTTCATTGGTAAATGTGAGTGACATGCTCACAAAGTAAAGACCTGCTAATAGTTAGGATTATATTTTCTCAATTGTGTGTTTTCCTGTTATGTTTCTCCTTTCAGATTTCCCACAACAGCATGACTGTAAAGAGGAGGTTCTCACAGACAAGCAGGACTTTAATCAAGAGATGAACTCAAGTATAAACAATGATGACCCTTCACAGATGAAAGAGGAACAGAAGGAACTCTGCACCAGTCAAAAGGGAGAGCATCTTGTACTGAAGCAGGAAGAAAGCAAGCATGTGGAATCAACTAGAAATGCAGAGCTGAAGAAAAGACCTCAGATAAACAGAAATAAGCGCCTGTCGCGTAAATCTGAAACATGTGAAAACTCTGTAAAATGTGACATTTGTGGAAAAACCTTTTACTATAAATCCTCTTTGACAAGACATCTAAGAGTTCATAAAGGTGAGAGGCCACATTCTTGCAGCACCTGTGGGAGAGGATTTAGTCAGATGATAAACTTGAAAAGTCACATGAGAGTCCACACAGGTGAGAAGCCATATTGTTGTAGCACCTGTGGGAAAACATTTAGTTTCTCATCACCCTTCAGAAGCCACCTTAGAATTCACACAGGTGAAAAGCCACATTTGTGTGGCACCTGTGGAAAAAAATTCTACAAGAAATCAGATTTGGAAAGTCATATAAAAGTTCACTCGGATGAAAAGCCCCATTCTTGTAGCATGTGTGGTAAAAGATTCAAGCATATGATAAACTTGAAAGTTCACATGAGAATTCACACAGGTGAGAAGCCTTATTCTTGTAGGATCTGTGGGAGCAGTTTCAGAAAGAAATCATCACTGGAATGTCACGTAAGGAGTCACACAGGTGAGAAACCATTTGCTTGCAGCATCTGTGGGAAAGGATTCACCCAGACACCAAATTTAAAAATTCACATGAGAATCCATACAGGTGAGAAACCATATTTATGTAGCACATGTGGGAAAAGCTTTATTAGCTCATCAGAGTGCAAAAAACACATGAGAATCCACACGGGTGAAAAACCATATTCTTGTAACACATGTGCGAAAAAATTCACTTATAAATCAGGACTAGAAACTCACATGAAAATTCACACAGGTGAGAAGCCTCATTCTTGTAGCACCTGTGGGAAAAGCTACGCTACAATGGTATACTTGAAAATTCACATGAGAATACACACAGGTGAGAGGCCATATTGTTGTACTACATGTGGAAGAAGATTTAGTAATTTAACAGGATTCAAAAATCACATGAAAATTCACTCAGGTGAGAAGCGACATGCTTGTAGCACCTGCGGGAAAGGTTTCATTCAGCTGCAAAACCTGAAAAGGCATATGAGAACTCACACAGGCGAGAGGCCATTTTCTTGTAGCACCTGTGGGAAAGGATTTTGTGGCCTGTCCGGTTTAAAAAGACATATGACAGTACACACAGGTGAGAGGCCGTTTTCTTGTAGCACCTGTGGGAAATCATTTAGAGAATTATCAACATTGAAAACTCACATGCGAATTCACACAGGTGAGAAGCCATATTCGTGTGGCACCTGCGGGAAAAGTTTCATTCAGTTGGCACAGTTGCAAAACCACCTGCGAATTCACACAGGCGAGAAGCCATATTTGTGTAGTACCTGTGGGAAAAGATTCCGTAATGTTACGAACATGAAATCTCACATGACAATTCACATGACGACTGGTTAAAAGTTTCCTGTTTAAGAAATGTGTCAGTGTAACATGTGTGTTAATAGTAGAGTGAGCAATGACAGTGCAAATCACACCTGTAGGATAAAACATGATTATCCCACAGGTATTATTCAGCTCAATACGGCATATATTTATTTTACACAATAACTAACTGTAACAATTGTTTATTCTATTAATTGTCTTATTCATATGATGCAGGGGAAACTCTGGTTTTATATTTGTCTGAATTCATATTTTTATTGTTTTAGGCTGTAGAGGTGACAAGCGCAAGTTGTAGATAAACTTGTTCCACTAAACAGCTTTGTTATAGAGAAAGAAGCTTATATAAGTTTTTTTTTTTGGTCACTTGTTGCTTATTATGGCAAATATTTAATTTCTCTGTTGTTCAGAGGTTTCACTGCACAATATTAAAAGCAGGGAAGTGTCACACAGAAGACACAAATATATCATTATGAACTTGATGTTCATTTTCATGAAAATTAAACTTCAGAAGATGCTGAAGGGTTTTGAGTTTTATAAGATTTAAATAAAGATGTGTTTTAAACTCGTGACTTTTTTCTGAGTTGTAAAGTGAAGTCCCTACAGTAATAGAGAGAAAATGCCAACAGTCACATGTCCTTCTATAAACAACAACTTGGTGTAAGTGGGAAGGAAAAACTCTTTAACTTAAAAAATTGTGGCACTACATGCAGTGGTGCCAACATTAGCCATGTTAAAATGTTACCGTTAACAGGTGGTCAGGCTGGCTCTCCATTTCACAGCAGAGTCCTTTCACATTCTTCACATATCCGTGTTGGGCAGAGTGTAGAAACAGCCGCTGAATGGCATTTGTCAAATTAGGGTTTTTTTTGAGAGTTTAATTCTTTTTTTGTGAAATCCATTTTTGATTTGATGTATTTATCAATTGATTAATAAATCATTTTGAAATATTGATTTATAAATAGTCTGTATTTAAAATGTAATTATTAAATAATAAGTTACTTTTGCAATGTTTAAATAAATAAAATAATTTTAAAAATACATTTGTAACTGAATTTGCAAATGCATTTTATTGCACTAACAATTCAAAATTGCAGCATAAAATTTTTTGGGGGTGTGTGTGGCTCTTGTGGTCCTCCATAATCATGTTGCTCAACTGGGCAAACAAAATTACTTGATCAGAGATTCATCCAGGAATCATCCTGATCACAATCAACCAACCGCATTAACACGAGTAATGCGACTCCACTAAGTTGGTTGAGTGTGTGTCTTTATTCTGGTCCTTGATTTTGTAAACTTTGTTTCTTTTTGTCAAAATGTTGGCCTTAGTTCCATGTTTTTCCGTTAATCAACAAGGTTTAAAGTGGCTTTAGGTTAACCAAACGGGAAAATATCCACTTTGGGGTTTTCCCATTAATCCAGACAAAGAGTTGTTTTTTTCTGGTCAGTGAACTTTAACCTTATTTCTTTATGAATAAACTGTAACACCTGGAACTTGTCTGAGTTAACATGAGCTGCAAGTTATGTTTTCTTTTACACTTGGGTTTGTTTAATATATTGTTTTTTCCCCCCGTTGTGTTGTAATTGATAATTTGTGCTTGACAAGTTGCGCAAATGTAGGCTTCATTGATCTTTCAGAGTACAGCTTGGGAGTATGTCTTCAAATCAAAATCATGATCAATGAACATTTTACCATGATTATGATTAACCCTTTCATGCATGAATTATGACAACCTCAATCTGGATTTTCACTCATCTTTAGGCATGAAAAAAAGATTTTTGAACTTCATTTTTAAGTTTAAGTATACCATTAACACTGACACAAATCCAAGAAAAGAGCCTTTGAATAGCTGTCCACTGTAGTGACCACTATGCGTGAAAGCGTTAATGAACAATTTTTATATATAAAATACATCTCATAGATATAATATTGTTCTTGCCCTCACTACATATATATTTTAAATATGCTAGTAAAGCTTAGATTTTCTTTCCATATTTTGATGATAGTATTACTCTTGGTCACTTAAACAATTTTTCTCCCAGTTTCCCATTTTTTTCTATTTGTTTGAGTCTTGAAAGGGTTTGAACTGCAGGAGGGGAGGGTTTCTGTGCGCACACACACACACACACACACACACACACACACACACACACACACACACACACACACACACACACACACACACACACACACACAGCGCCTGAGATTAAAATAAAGAACATCCCCTATTAGTGACGAAAAAGAGCCAACAGGAGAGAAAAAAACTTGATAGTGACTTTCTGTCAGGGCAAGCAAATCAGGCAGTACATGCCCAGTGAAATCTATGAACACATATGATCTAAAATCTGAGTGGCCACAATCTCTCTTCTTGCATCTCAAACAGCATTCTGTCATAAAGCGTCTTGCCTATTTGCAAACTTTAAATTACTGCCATCTTGTGACAGTGATCAGTTTTTCAGTTGGTCAAGTTGATCTTCGTTCAACAACTTTACTTTGACATTAAATATGGCACACAGGGCTGGTTCAATTTTTTTTTTTTTGAAGATCACACATTAAACCATATTATTCGACACAAGTTTTAATTAGATTGTGTTGACATCTTACAATAAATGACCCACATCACAAAGAAACAGTGCGAGAGATTAAATATACAGGACAGGATAAAAATCAAGTTTAGTCTTCATTAAAATAAATATCACCACAAAATAACTAATGTTCATAAAAAAAATATGTCATGTGTTTCTTGATCTTTGTCAGTTTTTAATCTTATGTAGTGTAACCTGTTTAGTGGCTAATAAAAATATCAAACTAAAACATATTTAAAACTAGGATGAAATTAGTAGAATAATATTTTCTTTTTTTCCATCTCGGTGATGAAATAACCTTCAGAGCATATTCAAGCTGGAACTTTGTCTCCATGGCAGACTTCAAAGCACTTATAAAAGCTTCTGAAGCTGAAGAGTAAACCTGCTATTCATAAACTAAAAAATAAATGTTACTTGTTGACTTCTGGGTAAGTCTGTGTCAAATCAACAAAGACTTCTGCTAGCCCATCTCAGATTTGCATAAAAATTTTACAGTAGAAATTTTAAACATTTATACTGATTGCCGTGAAATTTTAGTTTCATATATTGAATAGGTTTTTTTTTTGTTTTTTTTAAATGGTCCAATGACCCACTTTCAGCCCTTTTCCCCCCCTACTCTACCCTACCTACCATTTTGAGTCCTACTGCTTACACAACTCTGAACATTTTTATTCAAATTAGAAAAGGTTCAACAGAAACTTTTTGTTTTTATAGAAATTTAATTTGATGCTTTTTAAGAAATTAAATCCTGTCCAGTCAATCAGCTTTTAAAATACGAATTATGGTGTAAAAATCACTTTTGTGCCAAACATATGTAGCTTTTCCAAGATACATTCCATGAAGTCTCTATAGGCTCCTCTTGTTTATGTTTCTTTTATTGGCTTATTTCATCATTTTATTTGTGTTATTTCAGTTATTAGATTAACATAGTATATTATAATATGACAATGTCTAAGCTGACAGGCAGAAGAGGAAAAAAATACTGCTTTTGGACAACTCTGATAATTCTTGTTAAAATATGAAAAGAGGGAAAATATGCCCACACTTTGAAACATAACATTGTTATGTAAATTGGAGAAGGCTCAACAGAAACTTTCTGTTTTGATAAAAATCAGATTTAATGATTTGATTAACCTCCTAAGACCCAAACTCTTCCACGGCATGCATTTTTAATTTCTCTTTGATATCGGGGCATATTGGGACCTGATGAATGTAAAAACAAAGAATTACCAGATTTTTTTTTTTACCTGATTTTTGTTTCTAAGAAAAATGAGAGCCACATATGAGGATATTTGTTTAAAATTTCGATAGAACAGTAGCAGTATAATGTCCTCGTTAGTGGATATCAGGCCATTGTTGAGCAAAATTTAGTATTTTGGTCTAAATAACCCAAAATGTGATGTCCACATATGTGGACGGCAGGTCCTAGGAGAAACATGCAAATATCTAATGAAATTATTTTCTGAGTTGTAATTACACAACCATCTAGAAACTTGTTCTATTCAGATTAAACTCTTTACGGATATTTTTGTTTTCGTTAAAACATTTATCGTATTTGCTCAAATGCTTGAAAGCTGAATGAAAATAGAATATTATCACTTTACGACTTAGTTAGAAACCATTTAAGTTTTGAAAGTAACTTAAAACATATAACTTTGTTTTGTTTTTGTTTAATATATGAAGCTAAAATTTCACAGGACTGGTTATACAGGTTTAAAATTTCTACAGTGAAATGTTAATACATATTGAAGATAGTTCAGTATGAAATGTTCTAAAAACTGGCTTATTTGAGACCCTTTATAAAACTGGGCTTCCAATTACATCAGAACAAAAACACAGCCAACTTGAATGACTATTATTAAAAGCTATTCCATACTGACCAGAATATAAGGTCATCTTTTTTTCCCCTCAGGGGTAGGTGTGATTTTCCTCACTATGCATTCTAACAGTCACACACTCCTACTCTGCCACATTTTGTAAGGTAGTATGAATTCTCATGTGACTTTTTAAATGAGTCAACTGACCGAAATTTTTCCCACAGGTGCTACAAGTATATGGCTTCTCACCTGTGTGAATTCTTGAGTGAGTTGTCAGGTTTTTAATATGACTAAATCTTTTTCCACAGGTGCTACAAGAATATGGTTTCGCACCTGTGTGGATTCTTAGATGAGTTTGCAACGTCGAATTCTGACGAAAGGTTTTCCCACAGATGTTACAAGAATGTGGTTTCTCTCCTGTGTGAATTCTTATGTGTGTTTTCAAGTTTATCAAATTAGTGAATCTTTTATCACACATATCACAAGAATACGGCTTTTCGCCTGTGTGAACTCTCATGTGAATTTTCAAGTGTATCATTTGGCTAAAACTTTTCCCACAGGTGCTACAAGAATATGGTCTTTCACCGGTATGAATTCTCATGTGTGATTTGAATGCTGACATGTCATTAAACTTATTTCCACAGATGCTACAAGGATGAGGCTTCTCACCTGTGTGAATTCTGATGTGCTTTCTTAAGTGTATCATCTGACTAAATCTCTTCCCACATGTGACACAAAAATATGGCTTCTCACCTGTGTGAGCTCTCAGATGTCTATTAAGTTTGGACTGATACTGAAAAAATTTTCCACAAGTGTCACATTTTAATAATTTTTTACTTGATGCTAAGTCCACATGCTCGCTTTCTTCTTGTTCTAGGCTCTCTGGGTCAGGAGAGTTGTGAAAAAGGAACTGGTCACTGTTTGGTTCTGATTTACATTCCTCGTAAGTAGAAGCAGCCATAAAGGTCTCAGTCTCCTCCTTCAATACAAGCGGTTCTTCCTCATGACTGATGCAGATTTCCTCCTGTTCTTCTTTAATCTGCAGAGGTTCTGGATCCTCCTGGTCTAGATTGGAGTTCCTCTCTTGGTTACAGACCTGCTGATCTGTGACAACTTCTTCTTCCTTACCGATATCCTGCTGGTGGAGGTCTGTACAAAGACATTAAACATAAAAAAGTTTAGTGTATAAAACACAGGAGAAAATAGAAATTGTTCAATTAACTGCTTCCCACTGGTTATTAATGCTGATGGTTGCTGCTGCAGAAAGAAAACTGTGACAGTGAGCTCAGCTGCAGGTAATTTTAATTTTCCTTCAGTTCCACACTGTGCTGAATTGGAAGCTAGTGCGATTCTTTGAGGACTAGAGTGACGTGTTCGCTAAGGTGTGCGTTTGTGAGTAGTTTTGGTGTTGTGTTTTGAATTCATCGTAGATGGGACACTGCTGCATAACTTCAGCATGTATACAATGAGTAGCAATAATTTAGGGAAATGATGGTTTGGTACGGTGTTCAGTTATATTACTGAGAAGCACTGGACTTTCCTTTCCAATAAATTTCTAGTTTTTGCAAGGCAAGATTGGACTTGCAGGGAATCTAGATTTTTGTGTTTTCCTGCAATAAAGAAGACAAAACTGGCAATCTTTTAAGACACCTGTGTTTAATTATGGATTTCATGGACAAGTGGCAGCAGATATAAACTAAACTAGAATAAGGACTGAACACTATTTGACCCCACAAACAGTGACCTAAAAACGCTTTTTACCTACTGTGGTAACCATCTTTGAAAAATAAGCCACTCTCTCTTTCTCAGTGTAAGAAAGAGATCCCTCATATGAAACCTTTTAACTTTAGTGTTTAGGTCTTGTTTTTTCACCCCCATCAGTGTTTTTAGCTCATCTACTTTTTTTGGCTCAAGGGTTTGGCCCTATTTGGTTTAAATCTAAAGCCCCTTGTCCGCTAGTACCTACTCAGATCAACTCGGCACGGTTCGCACAGTTTCCAGGATTTTCCATTAGGTCACAGTGCCTGGTACCAGGTACTGTTTTAGTACCTGCTCGCCCAGGGTTCCAAATGATCCAAACAGGTACTAAAATGTGACGCTGTCACGCTGCATGTCACATTGGCTGGTCAGTAGCATCACTCGATGAGTCATGAGAGCATCTCGCTCACGAAAGTCAAAACCACCATTTCTGAAACTCGGCAACAAAGGAAATTACTACAAAAAACAACGCCATGTTCTCCCAAGTGTGACGAAAAGCTACAGACTGAGCAGCATTGATATATTTGCTTCGACATCCACATTTGTTGTATGTCGCATATTAATTATGTCGCAGGGTGCGCACACAGGTTCTTATGGCAACAAGCACGCAAACAAGGTACTACTGGGTTGTAATGGAAAACCAGTCGATTTGAATGCAGTCGACTGCAGTGTGCATTCACACTGAAGTCAATTTGACAACGACAATTGCATAATTTTGCCTCCTCTATTTGAGAAGATGGTGGGACCTGGAGAGAAGCACTGACACTGCCGACCTTCACCCAGTATGTGACGTGCCACACGAGAGACAATAAAACATTGGACCTACTGTATGCCAATGCAAAAGAGGCATAAAGTTGAGATGACCATGGGGAGGACATAGACAGCCTTGTGACCTGTTTTACTGGCTACAATAACTTCAGTGTGGATAATACCGTACCCACCAGGACTGTGCAGCGTTTCTCCAACAACAAACCCTGGATTACCCCAGAAATTAAAGCCATCCTCAAGCAGAGGAGGGTCTTCAAAGCCAGAGACAAGGAGGAGCTGAAAAGGGTGCAGAGAGAGCTGAAAGGCCTGATCAGGAATGTAAAAGCCAGCTACAGGAAGAAGATGGAAGACCAGCTTCTGCAGAACAATGTTAGTGAAGTCTGGAGAGGCTTTATAACCATCTCGGGCCACAAGGATCAGAACTTTCTGCCTGTGGGGGATGCAAGGTGGGCATCTTTAACAGGTATGATTTATCCATGAGGCAGTCTTCAACATCGGCTGCAGACTCACCCACCCTCACTGCTGCTGTTCCACCTCTGACACATCACACCTCTTCTACTCACCCTGCTCACAACTCCCCACCCCCAACACAGCATCCAGCACACAACCGACACAAGGCTCCAGCCGGTCTGTCTCGACCATCCAGGTTAGGAGGGAACTGAGGAAGACCAGAACCAAGAAGGCAGCGGGTCCAGGCGACATCAGCTCAAGGGTCGTCAGGTCCTGCACAGATAAACTCTGTGGGGTGATGGAGCACATCTTCACATCTGAGCCTGAGCCTGAGGAGAGTTCCACACCTCTGGAAACCTCTTGTGTTGCACCAGTGCAAAAGACCCCACGTCCCAAGGACCTCAACAGCTACAGGCCCACCTGATGAAGACCCTGGAGCGGCTGGTCCTGGCTCAGCTTCCGCACCTGGTGAGTTCATCACTGGAACTCTTAGCATTTTATGTCCAAAGAGTGCCCTGAGTGCATGTGTAGTAAAATGGCTGAGTAATGAAGGTATCAGGACAATGGTCAACCCACGGGACAAAAGATCTTTTGTTGCAATAATTTCTCCAAGTTTCTATTTCTTTCATGTCTGTGAAGGTTCTCAGTCATCCAGGTCATCGTAGTCTAAGGAGCTTGGAAAGAAAAGCGTCTGGACTTCTTTAAGTTGCTTGAAGATGTTTCACCTCTCATCAGAGAAGCTTCTTCAGTTCTAAGGTCAAATGGTGGAGAGTCCCAGATTTTATCCAAGTGGGAGTTTCCCCCCAAAGAGGGACAAAGGACCCCCTGATGATCCTCTACCTAATGACATGAGCCAAGGTGTGACAACAGGTGTGGGTCACAATGAGCTTACCTGAAACCCTGGCTGATTGTGACCCACACCCGTTTTCACACCTTGGCTCATCTTCTCGGATGAGAGGTGAAACATCTTCAAGCAACTTAAAGAAGTCCAGGCGCTTTTCTTTCCAACCTCCTTAGACTATTTCTTTCATATTATTCCCTCTCCACTCTCTCCTTGCGTTCTTTATACTATCCCTAAAAATTTTAGTACCTTTTAGCTAAGTTTAAAATCCTAAAAGAGTTATATAATTATTATGGACTTTTATTTACAGTTTAACATACCTATTCTGTGTAGCTTTATTTCAGGTTTCCAAATGGTATCCAGCAGTCTGAGCCGCTCTTTTCCGGTCCAGACGATGATGCCTTCGGCCTCCTGACCGGTGCAGACTTCCTCCTGTTCCTCTTTAATCTGTGGAGGCTCTGGGTCATTTTGGTCCAGACTGGAATTCCTCTCCTGGTTACAGACCTGCTGATCATCCACACCCTCCTCTTCCTCACAATTCATGTTGATGTGGGAGGACTTCAGAAATAAAGGGATGTAAGAAAAATGTTACTAATGTGATGACAGGAACACACAGATATAATCCAGAAGGACTGTACACTGCGAGCATGTCTCTCACTTTAATGTGCACAAATTTGACAAATGTGTCGGGAGTACCGTGGGAGACAGTCTCGAGTTCTGGTGTTCTTATTTGCAAAGTTCAGAATACAAAACATTCAGGTAGTGGCTTAAAGTGTGAAGCAGCTATTTGATTAAAAGTTGTACCCTGCAGAATCACACATGTCTAAAGAGGAAACAGCTTTTCCTAAATCCATGATAAAAACACGCTGCAGATAAACAATCAGTTGCATTTAATTTTGCCCATGAGAACTTCTCTGCCTATGATGGGAGATCTACTCCAAGATCCACATTAAGAGCTACTTTCCTTTGTCCAGTGTCTGTCACTCATTTCAATCAGACATACTGTCAAGCACAGAAAACCAAAGGAGGCTCTGCTGCTGCCATGAGATTAGCTGCAGCGAGATTACTGCTGGATACCTTTAGTTTAAGGGTGCTCTATCTCAGCAAAACTTGGAAATATTTTGAGAAACATTTCAATTTCAATTATTTTACCTGATCATTTAAAAATTAATTTTCTTAAACCCAGAGTTGGCACAAATACAGGCTTTCTTTACTTATGCAGAAGTACCGATATACTCCAATAAAAGTTGAAGTACTGATTCAACTTCTTTACTCAAGTAAAAGTGAAAAAGTACAGGCTCTGAACTGCACTCAAAACAAGAAAGCAAAAACTAATTCATTGAAGAACATTTCTATTTCCTATTTCTATGCAAAGCTAACTGAACCTCATGCTAAACTAATGTAATGGTAAAATAAAATTAGTAGAATACAAACTTTATGTTTGTCTGAATTCAATTCTAATAAATGTACTCAACTTGAATCAGTTAAGTAGAACATCAAAAGTGAAAAAGAAGGAAAATAAAATATATCTGTTTGCTGTTGCCGACATTGTAGAGGGCGACTTTGCCACTAAACAGCAAAATGAGCACAGTGAGAGGTTAAAGTGGAGTCAGCAGGTGGGGGAACCCTAAAATCAGTTGTAGTGGCTCAGTGTGAGGAAAAGAATGACAACTCACAATAATTTATATTGAGAGCAGATTATCTTAATGTGCAGGCTGTGATCAGCTGACCTGCTGCTGCTGCTGAGGTTTACTGCTCTTTGTGGATTTACACACCTGCATCAGATGTTTCATGAGTTTTTCTGGCTGATTTCCATCCTCTACACTGACAGTACACTGTTGATGCTGTCTATTTTCTAGATGGTAAAAAGGTTGAATTCAGTGAATTACTCTCCTACCTTTGAATCTAACCTCTCTTCTTCCTCTCCTGTCCTCTTTCTTATCTTTCTCCATCTCTGTGTGACATCAGCTCTCTTTCTTTTTTCTCCCTGTGAAATATAGCAGCTGGAGCTTTAGCTAGCAACACACTGTGAACAACTGCACACAGTTTGTGTGTTTGCTGATGTTTGTTCAGCCTTTGAACTTGAAATTACCTGTGACTTAAATAACATCACTCCCTTGTGTTCGTTCCTCTTCTGTAGCGTTATCTAAATGTTAAAAGTACTGCAACTTACAGACATTTGCAGTTGTTCCAAAAATATAACAAAATAAAATAAAATAAAAACACCACCTCATGTTAACCCCTTACTATGTCACACCGTTTTGCCTATTCCATCCCTTTTTATGTGACATCCTCTGGTAATTAATACACAAACAGGATTCCCTTTTATGTGTTACTGTTTAGGCTCAAATAAGTTTGATGTTTGGAGGCGAGAGGCGGAGAGAAAAACATGTACTTAAAAAAGGTGAGGGTCGTCTGCTAGGGTGCTAGGACCTGATCGGGGGTGTTTTCCACAATATTTCTCAAAGTAATCTGCAGGTTGTACAAACACAGTGACATTCAAACTGTTGTAAGTGACCCAAGGACCTAAAATCTCCCAAGCACATCTGTCCTGGATATTATCAAAGTCATTTAAAGCAGAAAAAAAGGTTTACAAAACGTGACTTTTAACAACTGCACACAGAGTAGACACAATAAGGGAGATTCAAAAAATTTTTTTCCAAAGAGATACGTAGATCCTGCTGACTACAGCCAACCAACACATAAAAAAGGATATTGAAGGTTTTTTCTTTTTTAAAGAAAGGAAAACACGCCAGCACTGCCAACCCCTTTTATGCAGAACAAAGTCGCTTCCCTCAGTGTCTCAGTGGGTATTTAACGTCAAATATTTACATTTAAAATAAAGAGAAGCGCTTGATTTTAGCCTGTTAGCCTACAAACTGAGCCGCTACATGAGCTCCAGCACGGTGCACACTCCCGTGTTAGCTCACCGAGACCGTCTCAGTGTTACACACCTGTAATGTGTGGCTTTATGTCGGGTTTCCAGCTGATGTCCAGCAGTCTGAGCTGACGGCTGGTCTCCTTCTCATGCCGGACGATCGTTTTTTCTTTTTCTTTTTTTAACTTGTTAGCAGATTTCTTCAAAAACAATCACTCTGAAACCCGAACACTAGACATGCTAAACAGTAACCATTGCGTCATTTCCGTCATTTCTCTTCTATTGTACTTCCGGTGGACTAGAAAGCCTAAAAGCGTATTGCTGCGCTTCTCAGGTCAGTCAGACGAAAGTAAAGTCCTTACATAAAGTCTGGCAGCCCTACGAAGGAGTAATGTACGATAGATAGATAATAGCTTTTTTGGTTTTATTGTAATTAATCATTTTGAGAACAACATGGAAATTTAGAGATTAAATAATTATTAGTGGGACAAGGCAGTGGTTTGACAGTAATAATATTAAAAAATAATGATTTTCTTAATGTAGTCCTGATGCTTTGCCTCACCTGCCTCACACAGATGTTTCATTTTCATCACAGCACTAAAAGTATTGCTGTTTTATTGACAGCTGTAAAGAAAGGAGCCCACACTGAAGTATCAGTTTATATAAAATCAAACACACTGAGCTCCACATGAACTTCACGCTAACCAAAATGCGTGCAAAAACAACCAGATCATTTTAAACATGCTGCAGGTGCTGCAGACAAGCAAGAACCAAAAAATGTCTCTTTGTCACCATTTTATTAGATTTTTACTGTTTGTGTTAAACTATGCTGTTTAGTCTGTCCCTGCTCTTTGTTCTCATCAAAAGTCTTGTTCTGTTAACACTCTGTGCTGAAGCTGAAGGAAATATTAGATGATACAGCTCCAGACTAAATCACTGACCCATTAATGACGCTTCGATACAGTTGTACCTTGCACTTCTATCAACAAGGATGCAGAGGAGGTTAAAGCACTCCATCTTAGTTTGTTCACAGCTGTGCCAAAATTCATGAATACCTCCACGGATGTCCTGAGGAGGGCAACAATATGCTTTTAATGCAGCCGATCTGACGAAAATTTAAAAGGAGAAGAGGAAGAACGGAAATGATGCGTAATGCAATGTCAGACATATGATGGTGAAAGAAAAATTGATCAGGTTGGTGAAACTTGACTTGATTGATTTGTTTCGTACGAACTGGAGAAGTGAAAGTTATTAGACCCTATTTTGATTCTTAAGGCAGACTCATTGGTTTTGGGAGGATTTAATTTTTTTAAAATAACATTTCGGTCCACACTCCACACCAGTTGGTGGCGGTAATGCGCCATTGTGCTGTTTGCCAACAGCCATTAAACAATAAAAAGAAGAAGAAGGACCCGACGCTGCTCTGTCCCGTTGTGCGTCTGAGAGGAGGTGACTGCTGCAGCTCAAGAAATCTCAGAGGTTAGGACAGCATCGTCCGGTATGAGGAGATCAGTCAGCACAGACTGCTGGATATCAGCTGGAAATCTGAGATAAAGTCTCACATCACAGGTATGTAAAACTGGTGATGGTCTCAGTGAACGAACACAGGAATAACATATAGCACCATATAGGACTGATCAGAGCTCAGTTTTGGCTAACAGACTAACAAGGACTTCTTCTCTATCTTTAAACAGCAAACCTTTAGTATTAACATCCAGGAGACAGAAGCCGGTTCTGTGTATTTTGGGCGGAGAGTGACAAACCTGGCAGGTTTTCACCGGACGGCGTGTCCGTGCCGTCGGGTTTTGTGCTTTGTGTTTACGTCTTTTTGCGGTTACCTGCCCTTTAATCGTTTGCTGTTTTAGCCGACTGACGGTCGAAATTGTTTTGTGAGCTTTAAGTCGAGATTCCGGCTTTTCTGGCAAAAATACTTTTACATTTAAAAACTGATCAAATTAAATCAGGATTTAATGAATCGATAACTCATTATTCATATTAAAATCGTTTTTTTAAACCCACCCTCACACAGAATAGCTGTAAAAGAAGAGCACTGTCCTGCAAAGTAACAGTGTGTAGAAATGAATACAGTTTCATATGAATACAGCTAATGTAGTTTTATAACTACATTAGACGATCATTAATGTGCAAGTTGTCATGACCACTGCTCAAAGACCATTGATCAATGGTCATTGATCCATTCACATACAATTTACAGAGAGCTGCACTCGCAGCATTGTAAGATGGTGAAAGATGGACCATTAGGCCCCCTCCTCAATTGATTGTCTTTCCCTTTTCACAGGTACTCCTCCTCCTTGGGGAGTCAAGGAGGTCTGTGATCAATGTCTATTGATTTGTGGCCATATATATGTGTGTGTGTGTGTTTATGCATATGTGTATGCTGTTTTTTTTTTTTTTTTCATTTGCCTCTTTTATGGGCCCCCCAGCTGTCTGTGGGTCCCTGGGCATGTACACAGAATGCCCACTGAAGTAACTTTGCCATAAGATTTATTAAAAAATTGGGATTTAGATTGATCTACTTAGAAACATGGGCTGTGAGGTCAATTTCTTTTTTCATTAATATGCAAATTTGATCAAAGACCATGGATCAATGGCCATGAGTACCAATAATGGCTGCACTTACAGCACTGTAAGATGGTGAAAGATTTACCCATAGGCCCCCTCCTCGATTCAGAGATTGTCTTTTCCTTTTCATGTAAATTACCTCTTCAAGGAGTCTTTGATCAGTGGTTATTGATCAATGGTTATTACAGTCTGCATATTAAATCAAGGAACTGACCTCACTGCTCGCCGTTCATTCACTGGTTTCAGTCATTGTGCAGATGTACTGGTTATAAGGTTGGGTAAACCTGCAGTCAGCCCTTTGAGTGCTCCAGGAGAGTACCGTATTTTCACGACCATAAGACGCACTGTACTAAAAGGCGCAGTCTAGTTATGTGTGCCATTACTGTATTTAACACACACATAAGGCGCACTGGATTATAGGGCGCATACAAGTACCTGTATGCGTATTTAAAAATGAAGCTGTCACGAGCGAGAATGCGGTGGACTCAAGAGCAGACTCAATTTGCTTAGAACTGTGTATGATTTATTGAAAAGAACAAAACGTGAACGGAACTGGGTTTAACAGAAACATATGCAGTAACTAAAGGAAATCCGTGGGCGGAGAAACCGGCGTAGAGCACGGGGAGACTTCTAACGGGAACTTCTGTAAACACAGGGGAGAGATGTTACTGAATGGGGAAAATAACGAGTAAGGGAAAAAGGTACGGAGTGCCAGTGAATGGTCTTGGGCTTACTTGGAGACCCTAGTTATTAGACAGGGAAAAGGCTGCCATGGGTGTAATCCAGAGAGGGTCAAGAGTGGAAAGTCCGGTCCAGATTCCGAGGAGGTGGAGCATACAGACTGAAGGGCAGGCTGAGGAGAAGTGGAGTATATAATCCTCGGGTTCCGAGCTGATGGGAGAACAGGATGAAGACCAAAACAGCACTACTGGTGAGTGCGATGGGTGGAAAATCACAGATGGTAGCAGGACGAACTGGCGAGGAGTAGCAGGCCGTGCTGGCTTAAAAACCCTCTAGGTGGAGCCCCGGAGATTGACAACAGGTGATGAGCTGGCCAACTCCACTCCCAGGGACAAATGACAGGAAACTGGACCACGCCCAACCAGACACTCCCACAGCATATGACAGTACCTCCCCCTCAAGGGCCGCCACCCGGCGACCCCCCAGACCGGGCCCTGCGAGGGGAGGAACGAAACGCAGCAATCAGGGACGGGTCCAGAATGAGCGACCGGGGAACCCAAGAACGCTCCTCAGGCCCATACCCCTCCCAGTCCAACAGGTACTGGACACCACGACCACGGCGGCGCACGTCAACGATCCGCCGGACCGAATAGGCCGGATGACCGTCCACGAGCCGGGCGGGAGGCGGGGGAACAGACGGCGGACACAGAGGACTGCTACGGACCGGCTTGACCTGAGAGACGTGAAACGTCGGGTGGACGCGCCAGGAGGCCGGGAGCCTGAGACGGACCGCCGAGGGGCCGACGACAGCAGTGATCTCATAGGGGCCAACATAGCGGGGAGCCAACTTCCGAGAAAGCGACCGCAAGGGAATGTCCTTGGCACAAAGCCACACCCGTTGACCAGGCCGATATGCCGGAGCGACAGAGCGGCGACGATCCGCATAATCCCGTTGCCGGTCGACAGTCGCAAGGAGAGCCCGTCGGACCCTCTGCCACACCCGCCGGCAGCGTCGAAGGTGATGCTGGACCGAAGGAACAGCCAAATCCGTCTCATCCTCTGGGAACAACGGTGGCTGATACCCCAGCGAGGCCTCAAAGGGTGACAAACCCGTCGCTGAAGACGTGAGAGAATTATGGGCATACTCCACCCAAGGCAACTGAGACGACCAGGCTGCCGGGTTCAGTGACGAGACGCAGCGAAGAGCGGATTCCAACTCCTGGTTCAAACGCTCAGTCTGGCCATTGGTCTGCGGATGGAAACCAGAACTCAAGTTGACCTTGGCACCCAGGGCCGTACAGAAGGCCCTCCACACTCGGGAGACAAACTGAGGCCCCCTGTCAGACACAATCTCCGAGGGTATGCCATGAAGACGGAACACATGATCCGTAAGGATCTGGGTGGTCTCCGCAGCCGTCGGCAGCTTGTCCAGGGCCACGAAGTGAGCCGCCTTGGAAAACCGATCAACTATGGACAGAACCACCGTCTTCCCCGAAGAGGCTGGGAGGCCGGTAACAAAATCCAAGGCGATATGAGACCAAGGCCTATGCGGGGTACTCAGCGGTCGGAGTAAGCCAGACGGGGGCCGATTAGAGGTCTTGTTACGGGCACAAACGGAACAGGCAGCCACATAAGCCTTCACATCCTTGTCCATAGAACGCCACCAGAAATACCTCTTCAACAGAGCCGTGGTCCTACTCACTCCCGGATGGCAAGTAAACCGGGCTGTATGGATCCAATGGATAACAGCCGACCGGGCGGCAGAGGGCACAAAACGCCGACCGGGCGGGCCAGTTCCCGGATCAACGTCGTCCCGTAATCCTTGGCGTATAGCCTCCTCCACATCCCAGGTGAGGGAGCCGATCCTGCAGGTGGAAGGGAGAATGAGCTCCGGGTCCCGGGAGTCTGAGTCCGAGGAGTACTGGCGAGACAGAGCATCGGGTTTAAGATTCCTGGAACCCGGGCGATAGGAAATATCAAAGTTAAATCGGGCAAAGAAAAGGGACCACCGAGCCTGGCGGGAGTTCAGTCTC